TTACTCTGACGGTAGTCTGAATTCTAACGAATCTGTAAACTCTGACACTGGGAAATGTGTATGGCTGATTTACACACTACATGTATGTTCAGTCAATGTTCAACTCACGGTTTATGAATTAAAATATTTCTGCAGGCATCTCAGGTTTTCTTGAATGTTGCACTAGATCTTGTTCATCCTCGTCGCCATGTTGTAAGATCGTGAGGCAGAAATTAATACAATGGTGGGAACACAAACTTGAGCTTTATTTATTCACTGCATGAACATGGCAGCCATATTGTAAACACTGTTTTACATATTGCCTGTGAGGGCGCACTTCACAAATAACAATTACATGAATATAAATGTGTACTACTGTACTGGACATTACACAAAGGTCATCTTAAACATTCGTGTATCCTCTCTCCCAGTCGCCCCGGGAAGGAGTAATATATACCTGGTTTCTTGCTTCGTTTTAACACCGAGGGCTACGCTGCACAGCAGAGCATTGATGTCGATTTCACTAAACTCACCATGTACAGGAAATCAGCATTTCTTCTCCGTTTAGTTTTAGTAGTTAGTATATGTTAAAGATGTGTTTTGAATGCTACATAGTATATGTATAGCCTACACTATACTGCCAAAACACTAGCAAATAGAATTCAACACGCGAACAATGAAATATCATAATGTGAGACGTAACTACTCGCCCTCCCCGGCCTGTAGTCAGGTCAATATATGGAAAATAACCCCTCAACCCCCAAAAATTGCTACAAAAGGTTTCTCAACTGATTCTGGTAGGTTTCAGTGTACTTTTTAACATACTAAAAGTTTATCAAAGTAGGACCCCCGGAAAAGTTTTTTTTTTCAAGATGGCGTCTAAGATGGCCGTCGAAACATCTGAAAGATCATAACTCTGTAACTATCAACTCAAATTTGATGATCTTGGTGTCTATACCTAGGTTTTTGGGGACATAGAACACATTAAGATCATACAAAATGATGTTGGCTTATTATGTAACACACAAATCTAGTATGGCGTCAAAAATGGCTGCCAACACCTCCAAATGACTGCAAGATCATAACTATTGACACAAATGTGATAATCTTGATGTCCATCCCCAGGTTTTTTGGGCAAGGAACACATTGAGAGAACTTTGGATATCACTGAGCTATTGAATCATTATGAAATTGAATTCACGACCTTCAGCTGTCTACTATCACCTATTGCACAAATACCTTTGTCCATGGAATAAGTTTCAGAGTTTTCAGTTTTGAGCATCATCCTCTTCCCCAGTATCAACGTATTGAGTGTTGTTTGGGTTGTAACAGTTTTCAGTTTGGCAAGGGCCACATACAGCAGTGCAGGGGAGTCCATACCGTCTGCAGCTGCATCTAGAGGATTTGCATCCCACCAAACAGTTGCAATGGATAATTTTCAAGAGTTTGTCAGACGCAGCATTTTTTGGGGTCATAATTGGAATTAACTGATCATTTTCCTGTTTCCATCCCAATTGATCACAACATTATCACTATTATCAGCAAAGGGACATTTCATGGAATGGGTGTCATTGCTTCTATCACCCCTAGAAAAAGGATGAACCATATCATTCCACGAAGAAAGATCTCAGGACTGAAAACTTAAAACAATCTTGGAGTACAGGTTTGCAAGTCATGCTTGTCATGAGGTAGTTTTCCAGGACCTGCCGAGATTTCTTGACTCTGACAAGAGGATCGATATTCTGTGGGAAGTCTCCCTCGGCTTCAAAGAGGCAACACCGAATTGGCTAGGGATGATGCATATCTTGCATCAGGGGAGCCAGCACCCTGGGCAGTTCTCAGTCAAATTCTTGCCTATGATCAATATGTACTCTGGAGACAAATCATGCATTGTGTCTACATTAGACTTTGTTTGCAACCTTGCCATGAAGCACAACCTTGCCACCATTGTAACATTTGACCAGCCCTTGTATTGGAAGGTTGCCGATATCATCGTTGATGCGCCACAAAGTAGTCACTTGAATGGCATTGTACTGATGTTGGGGTGTTTTCATACACTTATGAACTTGCTGGTGGCCATAGGAACTCTCATGGAAGGGACTGGGCTCAAAAACATACTCAAGACTGTCTTTGGAGAAAATGCAGTTGTGCACATGATGACAGGGAAAGCTGTCCGGAGGGCTTTGTGGGGCCATCTTCTTTTTGACAAGTGCCTACGTAACCAGCTTATAACGGAAATGGTCAAAGACGATCCCGAGATTCAGACATTGCTGGATCAAGCCGAGGAATTGTATTCCTCCCTTCTTAGTGGAGAGACAACGCTAGGAGATGCTGCTTGTTCTGAGGTTTTGATTCGACTCAAGACAGTAATGGAGAAGAAGAAATCTGAGCTTCCTCAGACCTCAAAGTCCAGCCAGTTGTGACTAATTTATCAGCGCATGGTTGACATGGCAAGAATGTTGATCAAGGCAAATCGTACTGCCCTTCTGTTCCAGTGTTTCCTTGTGGGGTCAAGGTCAGGAGATCTTTCCCTTGAAAAAGTTTTGACATATGAACTAAGCCCCTACCCTCCAGTCCTCTTTGAGGCCAGGAACATTCTTCGAAGAGCAGACAATTCGCGACCATGCTGCGGACTTATCAAGTGAGGCTGTGATGAACTCTATTCCTGAAACAGATTGGTACGTGCTTGAGGTGGTTCTTTGCTCCACCGTTTACCTTGGAAGAAAGATGATGCAATAGCCGAGTATTATGCAGACTTCACTGAGAGACATTACGGACTAGTGACAGTGGTGTTCGGTGGCTGAGGATACAGATTCGCTGATCTTGCTCCTTCATTACTCCAGAACAGACAATGAGATCATCTTCTTCCGTTCTGATGCTAATAAGCAGTCAAAAGAACACAAAGTGTATAACATTAACCTGTTGAAAGAAACTTTAGGAGATGATGTGTGCAATGAGTTGCTCTTTGTACATGCCTACTCAGGCTGTGTTTGAACTTCAAGGATTTTCGGCATCGGAAAAAAAGTCAGCCTTTCGGAAATTAGTGAAATCTGATCCTGTCATGAAGTCCTGTGCTAGTGCATTCATCCTTCAAAACAAATCTCAGGAGGACATATCAGGTCTTGCCAAAGACATGATGGTTAATCTCTTTGGTGGCAAGTATAATGATACACTATCATCACTGCGCCTTATCATTTTCACCAAGAAAGTGGCAACTGCTGAATCATTTGTCACTCTTGAATGGCTTCCCCCAACATTACCTGCAACAAGATTCCATAGCCAATGTGTGTACTTTCAAATTATGGTATGGATGGGGATGGCAAATGAAATGAATCCAATCGAATGGAGATTGAAACAGGAAAACGATCAGTTAATTCCAATTATGACCCCAAAAAATGCTGCGCCTGACAAACTCTTGAAAATTATCCATTGCGACTGTTTGGTGGGATGCAAATCCTCTTGATGCAGCTGCAGACGCTATGGACTCCCCTGCACTGCTGTATGTGGCTCTTGCCAAACTGAAAACTGTGACAATCCAAACAACACGCAAGATGTTGGTACCGAGGAAGAGAATGACACACGAAACTGAAAACTCTGAAACTTATTCCATGGACAAAGGTGTTTGTGCAATAGGTGATAGTGGTGATAGAGGTGACAGCTGAAGATCATAATTAAATTTTATAATGATTCAATAGCTCAGTGATATCCAAAGTTCTCTTAATGTGTTCCTTGCCCCAAAAAACCTGGGGATAGACATCAAGATTATCACATTTGTGTCAATAGTTATGGACTTGCGGTCATTTGGAGGTGTTGGCAGCCATTTTTGACGCCATACTGGATTTGTGTGTTACATTATAGGCCAACATCATTTTGTATGATCTTAATGTGTTCTTTGCCCCGAAAACCTAGGGATAGACACCAAGATCATGAAATTTGAGTTGATAGTTACAGAGTTATAATCATTAAGAAGTTTCGGCGGCCATCTTGGACGCCATCTTGAAAAAAAAACATTTCCGGGGATCCTACTTTGGTGAACTTTCAGTATGTTAAAAAGTACACTAACAAGTACTAGAATCAGTTGAAAAACCTTTTGTAGCAATTTTTGGGGGGGTTAAATTCTATTTTAACCTAACTACTGATAGAATGGAGGATTAATTTGATGTATGCACATATTATGATGGGTTGGCATAGGTATGATTCCAAGTACTAGTACACCATACATTCCAATCGCCGTGTATGTGTGTCCATTCACATCGCATGATGATCGAGCATTACTAGGACTGTTGTATATGATCATGGTCCTGTTTTTGTCTTGATTTGACAGCAATTGATTCTAGAACCTTCGTCGTATATATACGAGAATTGGAAGAAGCCTAGCGACCCCATTTATATGCAATATTGGCTATGGGATCTTCAAAATGAATACGAGTTTAGGAATGGAGACCAACCTGCTGTTCTCGAACGAGGTCCTTATACTTACAGGTACGTTGATTGAAAGTTAATTGGATTGTCCTAGTCGTGGCATTTTTTATGTGATAATTATCCTTTTTAAACCTGATTCCGGCGTCAAATTAATTTTGCGCCAGAACAAGAACATTTGCCAAATTAATTCCTAAAATGAATTATGATACATATGTATACATGGGTCGATCTAAAAAAAATATCGTGTGAAGTGAAATTAGAATGAATGAATGAATGAATGAATGAGTAGAAATCAGATACACTTACCAATATCTATGGTACCTATGGTAAAACGGCTTGCAGCCAGAAACAGTGAAAAATCTTTAAAAAAAATCTTCAAAACAATTTTCCCAGTAAAGTTAATGGAAAGTCCAACAATATAACTGTAATATTTCTGGTTGCAGACCAGAGAAAGAGACAAGCACGCAACAATCACCAATATAGACTAACTTTATTGTCAATGTACAGCCTTTATATAAAGAGAGTTACATAACTAACCAGATGGTCAATTACAAGGCACTTGTAATTATGTATACACATCTATTAAAGTTCATTGACATACAAATTACTACAATAACCATATATTTTTTTTAAATAACGCATTGCTTGAAATCAGGAGAGGTAAAAAGCTAAAGATGTGACCCCCCTCAATTGTCTATCCCACAATCCTTTGCAAAATATAATACTATGAGATTATTATAAATATCATACTATATTTGTAAAACAATTTTACTATACTCGTACATTTCTTGTATTAACCAAATAATCAAATATCTCAGACATTTTACCAGATCAAAGTTCACATACCGTCATTTTATTTTCAGAGAGTACCAAACCAAACACAATATCACGTGGAATGCAAATGGAACGGTGTCATATCGAAATGTACGTCAGTACGTGTTCATACCTGAGATGTCGGTAGGACTGGAAAACGACACAGTAAAAACAATAAATATTCCACTTGTGGTGAGTAATAATACATATCGTTATCAAAGTCAAGGTTATAAAATCAAAATACGTTGCGTGTATTCTAAAATGTATTTTGTCACAGTCATGCGTGTTTGAGCGGTTTACAACAATTAGGGTTGTTCATTTCCCTATAATATAGCTGATACAATTTCACGAATTTGACATTTAACCCTGGACTACATGTGGTAACTGTTTATCATGGCCGGCACAATTACATGTACTGAAGGCAATTTGCATGTCTTTTTTCAGCAGTATGTTTTGTTTGAAAACTTCTGGCGCATACGTACTTTGAACTTGAAAGATTGTGCAATCTGCCATTGAGTCAATTACAATTAGCCAATTTATATTGTTAATACATACATTTTATTTTCTTTATTAAAGAGTTAAACACCGGTTAGGCGGTGGTCAACATGCCATGTCGTGTCCTGTTATTTATTTATTTATTTATTTATTTATTTATTTATTTATTTATTTATTTATTTATTTATTTATTTATTTATTTATTTATTTATTTATTTATTTATTTATTTATTTATTTATTTATTTATTTATTTATTTATTTATTTATTTATTTATTTATTTTATGTGCGTGTACACATCTATGGTTTATTACTTTCCATTATATTGTCGTTGTTGTTATCGTCATCGTTGTCAGTCATTTTTTTAAATACATTATTCTAGTTCCTTAGCTATAAGTGGCCAGATATAAATTAAAGTATGTGTATTTGTTGCAGACCATCGCCAGTATGTTGAAAAATATGCCGTCATTGATAGAAACACTTGGTGAATACATTGTAGATGTTTTAGCATTGGCTGACAAGGAGACGCTAATCAAAACTTTGTCGGTGAAAGATATACTTTGGGGATATACCGACCCCATATTCAAATTGATATACGAAGTGACGGGGACATCGTTCGTGCCAAGTCCTGATTTTGGGCTCTTCTTAGGTGTAAGTATGACTGTCATGTCATTGTTATATGAAATGCAAGGGCTTCGAAGCGGATTTGAGTAAAATATATCTCGTTAGCCATATATCCTAGGGTATATATGGTTTTTAGCGTCCTATACTTCAAAACAAAAATAGAACAATATTCGAGTCTCAGAGTGGTATAGTGCTATTGAAAAGTCATGATTCCAATAGCCGTTAATTCAGAATGACCCGGAATATTCCATTGAGAACTTAGAAACTCCGTCAGAAAGTCGTGGATTATTATATATATAAGTGCATGTACTATTTGTCTGTCTGTAGCAAAATGACACAGATGATGGAGAGTTCACGGTGTATACTGGTAAACTGGACATTAATATGTTAAACATAATTGATAGATGGAAAGGAGAAGATCATTTATCCTGGTGGTCAGATATGTATGCAAATATGATAAATGGAACCGGTAAGTGAGAAACCAAAGTAGATCGGATACAACGTCGTTGGGATGTCTACGTTAATGTAACTAGAACCAGAGGCATGCACCATGGAACATAGTATTAGTTTACAAGTGTGATGTACCGTTGGCTTCCTATCATCATATATTCAGTAATGTTGCGAAACCCGCGCCCATTCGCCATTGACGAGTAACTTAGTGACGGAGAAGACTTGCTACTTGATCCCAACCATGATTATTTTCTTTGTTTCAGACGCCACTTTAAATCCCCCGTTTAGTAATCCAAGTGTTATGCACTACGTATTCCAGTCACTGGTGTGCAGGTACGTTTACAAGTTGCGACTATCACAAATATGCGAGAACAGTCATTCCCCGTCTTATCATAATATAATCAGAAGCGCCCTCGTGTGTCAAATTGATGGTGACAGTAACCCCGTGTTCAATTGACCCTCATACAACTAATAATTTTTACCCTCAGATAACTAATTATTAGTTGTCTGAAAATGACCACATTAATCTTTCTCCAGGTCGTTGCATGGTGCGTTCATTGGACAGAAGACAGTCCAAAATATCGCTGTCGATCGTTTTGTGAGTCCCGCCTACGAATTTGCGAACCCAGTGGATCATCCCGACAATGCCGGTTTTTGTACCCCGGATGTAAAACACTGTCTTCCATCAGGATTCCTAAATGTCAGCAACTGTCAACAAGGTAACCACGGCGACCCTGTCAGTAAATATAGCGTTTTATACAGTTCATGCATGAGAGACAAATATTCCGATTTTAGGTTAAATAAGTAATATCTAAGTAATATCACATTCTTGTTTTACTGCACTAAATAATACCTCAAATTTTCTACCATACCTGAAAGAAGCAAACAGTTAATACGAACGACTTTTAAACTCTTACTTCGGAACTGTGTGCACAATTGACGTATGTATAATAAAAAAACGATGTTCTGTTGCACACGGGTATGTTTATTGAGTAAAAATAACTAATTGTTTCAGAAAGCGATGAGAGATGATATTGATTTACGGAAATAATCAGCAACACAATATCTGCATTGTACATTGATAGGTGCACCAATTGCGTTATCGCTGCCACATTATCTGTATGCTGACCCTAAGTACATACCACCAAATATGAATCCTAATATAGAAGAACACCAGACATATCTCGACGCACATAGGGTAAGGCTATAAGTCCTTCGAGTATTATATTGTGCATCGTCATATACTACAAATCACTGTCCCTCTAACAATATGGTAGTAGAAATACTACTAACAAACATTATATGCATTTGTAGAGAAATGAAAGATCAGAGCCACGTTCATAATTTACATGTTGCATGCACTGATTTAACACATAATGCCAATAAATACGTCATAAATGATCTTGTTTTATTTCAGTTGACTGGTATCACAATGAGAGCGACTAAACGTATGCAAGTTAATGTACACGTAACCGCCGACCCGGATACAAAGATCACGTATGTTTTGGTCCCGATACATCAAAATTGCTCTTGGTGGCAGTATATTGTTTCTTATAGGGAGGGTTGGATGATTGAGATAATATTTTGGACATCGGGGCTTGAATAATTGTTACTATAGTAGGGAAAGGACTGGAAATTAGGTTTTCGTAAAACTATACTTATATATCCGATTTATATTTTTGAAATGATTAATGATCATAAAAATCGAAATGTATAAAATGTTTGTCTTGTCAGACGTGGTATGTACATTTTCATAGTCTCTGTGTTGTCTTGTTTGTTTATCAAGGGAACTTTCCAAAGTGACTGAAGTATTCTACCCTGTTCTTTGGCTCAACGAAGTAAGTGAAGTCGTTAAAAAGACAAATGTACCTATTGTGTAACAAATGTGTTTTAATTATCATGACCGTCGATCTTTTCAATAACAAGAAATCATGTCTATACTTTTCAGAGTTACGTCATTGGAACTAAGAATGCAAATGAATTCAAAGATAAAGTGGAGCGGCCAATACGAATCACTACCATAGTACAGTGGACTGTATTTGCATTAGGCGCGTTTATCCTTTTGGTAGTGTGTATCCTTGCCATACGTCATTGTTCTGAGGAGAAGCAGACACGTGATACGCAAGAAGAGGTGACGACTCATGAATTCTACTTTTCCTATTAGTAATATATCATTCGCCGGTTCCCGTGTCATGTGATATTGTTAGTGCGAGTAGATCACCAAATCTGCCATATTGTTCATTCTCCGTGTTTAGCAGTGTCTGGCAAGCCATCGGCACTCGGTCCGAAGGTGATGAGCACATTCGTTACAGAAAACACGTGGAAAAGGTATATCATTTGGACTAAAATCAAGTAACGTGTGTTACGTTACGTGTTCGGGGTTACCAAAACATCTATGTTCAAAAATATAATAAAATATCAATTTCTGCTATCATACTGATATTACTTCATTATCATGGAATGCTGATTTTAGTTAATTTCGTAAAAATAAAAAAAAATGCAAGTTCTGTATTAGAACACCCATTGAAGGATAATATGTATAAAATGCATGCTTATCATTTCAGTTTACGCTTACAAAATGCTTTAAAAAATATATGTTTGGCCTTGAAAAGGGTAGGAAAATAGGATTTACCGTACAACCACTTAGATAGGGTATGAAAAGGGAGATTTATAACCACGTGGTCTTAGCTTCCATTTCCAACATTTAGTAACGCACATGCCATCCCACGGGTATTTAGCTCACCGTTACATGGCGAGCAAATGTCATTTAGTACTACTCCAAGATGCTGGAAAAATCGTTATTTCCAAATTTATATCTGTGCGATCGGTGAGCGATACACCCAGCAGATGATAATCATTTTAAGCAATTAAGTACAGAGAACGATGTATTTTTTATATTGTCTTGTTCTTTCTTTCCAGGATAACGTGGTAACGAGAAAAAAACAGCCACCGACTGCGTCGTCATCAGACTCAGCTCGACTTCTACGAGATGGGCCAAAGGTTAATTGATACCACTAAGTGTGAGATGAGTGTGCCCATGTGTGTCAGAATTTTTGCGCCGTTTTCCAACACATTTTTTTCTTTAAAATGATCGTTTTGCTATAATTAAACCCACAACAAATGTACTTATTATAACAGTTATGTTGCAACTTGTGGATGGGCTGAAAGCTTCCTATATGCATTGTCCAAATCATTTCAGTTCAAATAAATAGAATAATTTACATAAATTGGAATATAGATATTTACCAATTTTTTGGAGGAAGCCAAACACCAAGTCCGGTTTCCTGCTTTATATGCAAATACATTTTTGATATTGTGCACTGGTTTATTATACACAAAACAACAAATTATAATTTACGAAAACTTACTAAAAGAAAACTTAATAAAACAGATAATTTATATTCAAAATATATGTTGTTTTGCATCTTTTGTTTCTGAAGATTGTCTAGGAATGATTTAAGCTTTTCTTTTTTTTTGAGTCCATGTAGAATAAAATTGTTTAGGATATGTATTGAGGAAAACCGATTGATACTATTGAAAACAAATAACTGATACTGGTACTGTGTAAATATCAAGAATTCTGCAAAGAAAGAATTAAGATTCGGATAATGTGTTTTTGATTGGTGTAGGTTGTCGTCATATGAATGAATTCTTCACTAATCGCATAAAAATAAATCTAAATAAGATTCTTACAAGAGGATTTCGTAAAGGTTATAAATTCGAATGAGATACTGTGTTTTAATATATACAGTATCCGTTTTTGAACTTAACCTTGCATATATGATGGTCCCTCCAGTTTGTTATTTATGTTTGCTTCGAAGTGTTCAGTATTCGTTTATAAATATTATTGTCACACCACTTAATTATGTGTACCGACTAATAATTTACTTGTAAGTTAGTAATTTTATGCAAATTGAAATAAAAAATAAGCTAGCGTGTTCTGCGAATAATCGCATTCTACAATAATCTGTACAGCTGGCAATGCATTGATGGCAAAAATGTAGGGCCTAATAGAGATTCTTGTGGAACATTGCAATTTATTGGAAGTTCTTAGAACACGTCCCCGTTCACGCTAGTGTGCTGTTTTCTGTTACTATGGCAATTCTCAATGAGAGTCCGTACCATATACGTCAGGTTACTTTTATATTTAGTTTACCATCTAACCCCCTCGGAATATCACATACTGCACCACCGGAAGAGGGGGTAGTTTGAGGGAACGTGTGACACATTTGTTGCGGTTTCTCGTATCGTTGATCTCGCGTGCGAGATCTCCAATTGAGACAGTAAAACTATTGAAACCATATATTATATTCCGCTGTTCTACATATTTGTCTGGTCGCCTGACTACCACCAAGAAATTGAACTTCAAAAGAGGTGGGTAGTTTCATTTTCTTTTTTAATCTACCTATTATGGATATCTTCACATGATTAATTTATATTATCGCTGAAAGACAGTACAGAATAAAATTATTTAGCTATACAACATTCCTGAGCAGATTACGATGGCGTCTTTATATGAATAATAATTATAACAGGGTTTTATTTATTTTTTAATCACTTTATGTTTACACCTTATTGGCTATTTTTATTCCCGCAGTTATCTACGTCTTATTTGATTTCTTGGTAAGGTTTATCTTTTTTTAGAAATAAGATGGGGGTGTTTATTGCAAAATCTCAGAAACTAACTTAAAATCAAACAAAGAGTTTATGTTATGCTTGCCAAAAACTTAAGCCCAGTCAGCTTTGCTGAGGTCATCTTGTTTTGAAATTTTCGAATACTATGAATGTTCTTTGTTTGGTTGCTTGAAACAATTACTAGTATTTAGATTTTCAAAGATGAAGACAATTGCCAGGTGCGCTGAGATGTCTACAATGGTCTCGTACATAACATATTTGCATTGAAAATTGGTGTATAAATTGCAATTACAATAGATTTATATTTTATATATATTAATGACAACCCATAATGACCCAGAAGACATGCATCATAATATACATTTGTAACTCAGCGACATTTTTATATATATAAACTACAACCTTTCTTTGTTTTGGACGAACATTTGTTTCTATTGAATATTATATCAAGTGAAATATATTTTTAAATTGTTTGGCGTCGGATATTGCTATAATCATTTTAGTTTTGACAAGCGTCTCATAAAAGACCTTGAATGCTTGGAAAATTTTGCTGAGAGAATTTACATTTATATCAGAAATTGAATTGATGGGCGTCTGGTTTTGCTGCGATAAGAACACGTAAATTACGAGAGGTAAGCTTAACAGATGTCATGTCATTGTACAAAGTTGTGCTTACTCAATGAAAACAATGCAAGTCCATCCATCTTTCTTTCAAGACAACTATTAAGTTGTTCAAACTTGTAACTCATCAATCTCAACAAATTCGCAACTAGGATTGATTCAAATTCGATGTAGTTCAGAGTCGTTTTTTAATTGTGGTTGTCGGAGCACATCGTTTGAAGCGTGCATACTGACAACTGTTTATGTATTAATTGACCGGAGTCAGACAATAATCAGATTTGAGTCAACCACGCACAATTAGGTCTAGATGCATCAGTTGTCCATAAAATTAGACAAGATGATTAGGTTCTGTGATGATGTAAAGATAAGTAATCTTTCCTATGGTCGTTGTATCGGAGACACACGAGTAAATTGATCATTATGAAACATATCGCTGACACATTCGAAATGAATATATTGAATGGAATTGGTCGCAATTTGAGAAGAAAATGTCACATTTGCTGCTCTGAGTTCTAATATTTTTATTCCAATGTATAATTTGTTGTACAATAAATTTGAATTTTATCGTAAATTGGCTGTACATTTTGTAATTATTCCCTTGGGAGGTTAAACTTGGTTGAACGGCAAAAATCGCATCACAATGTCAAGTACCTAAATTGGGGCCTAATAATTCATTCGGATATTAGTCGACAGAAAACAACCATATCTTGCATTATTTCGTTTTAAAAATATTTTTATAAGAAGCAATACTAAACGGACAATTTTGTATGCTGTATTTGTTGATCTATTATTAATTAGTACCTAAAGGGTCGATCACCGCAAATTTTGTTTTTGCGGCACCAAATCTATTTAATTCAGTAGAATCACTAAAACTTTCGTACATTGTTGAGTTAACAAATAATCTTGCCAACGTTGCTGACACTGCAAATTAGCAGTAGGTAGCTTATCAATTTCCCTTACCGGCCCAAAGAAATGTTAATGGTAGGCAACAAAATTTGCTGCACAAATATATAAGCCAAGCAACTTTTCAATTTGCAAGCCATGAACATTTTAATGGTAGACAATTTTCAACTTAATCTTTTTAATTAGGAACTTTGGTTTGTTGTCTAGGAAACAATTTTAATTTCCAATTAATCAACTGCATAGTTTCGTCTTTCCAATTGTACACAGTACAAGCTTCATAGCATACTATCATTTCAACGTAACTAAAGGTAACATGCATAGTCGATACACATTAAATTCGTGAATATAACATTTAATTATAATATTTAATATAGCACCATACAAGGTATTGCCAAGAATTACAATCTTTGGTTTTGATAAAATATAAACTAACAGTCATTTAAAAAATCAAAATCAATAAAAACATGCATATGAAATAAATTCTAACCAGTTATCGTATAAACTCGTGCATGCAATTCACTGCTATCTACAATTCAATTAAAATTCAGCTAAATGTGAAGATGACACTGGTCATGTTTAGAACACTACCAAATTAGAAAATGACACAGGACATGTCAAGATCTATACTGGAATTGAAGATGACTCAGGTCATGTTCAGATCTCTACCAAATTAAACATATTAATAAAAACATAAACTTCAACATATACTGTATAACAAAGCAAACAAAGTTATAAGCAGATTTCACTCTCACCAAAAATGGCATAATGTTTGAATCTTTGTTCAACATCTGGATATGTTAGCATTACTGCGTAATATTAGACACTGGTGGAATTCACAGGAAAGCAATAATGTTAAGACACAATTAAAAGGCATAAGTGATCAATGAAAGAAGGCAATTGAGGTAATCAAGGATACCAGTCTCAAGTAACCATGGAAATACATTTATTCATATATTATTATTCATATAAAATAAATTTATTGAAGTGATCTACTAACTGATGAAAAATGTGATTGGTTCAAAAACACAATATATTCAGCATTTCATTAGCTGGCTACATTAAACCAATCACATTATCAATACAATCAGATAGCAGCCATTCACAGCACTGGGCCATGAATATTCTAATTTAATTAGGTCAATTTAGACAATTAATTTGGAGCAGATAGCCAACTTTACTAAAATTTCTAAATTTCATTTGTGACTATAATAATTTATTTTGCATAGTATAATAATATAATAGTAATATATAATATAATAAAATTGTATTGTTTAAAAATGAAAGGCACATTTTTAATTCATGAGATATGTACCATATATGCAAATGAATAGCCATATATGGTACTAAATATACAAATGAATCCGAATATATTATAATATGTTGTATACTTTTTACCCTGATTTATGAACTTATTTTTCTTCATAATGATTTGAATTTTGTTAAAAATAAAAAAATGCCGGGGGCTGAGATTAAATAAAATATCTAGACAAGTTACAATAATATAGAAATACCTGCAAATTACCGAATTTCATCATTAATTCAATTGATCAACCTCTTTTTTATATTTCAATACTATGATATTTTCAATAAAACAAATTCAAATAGCACCAAATATGACAATAATTAAGTAAAACACTTTGCTTTTAAGCATCAATAAAATGGACAATTACCCAGAACACTCAACGTTGTTATAAAGCATCAATTAGAAAATCTGATACTGATCACCCAAAATTTTATTCTAGGACATTAATTTGAGGTAATGCATTTCATTTCATCAGATTATTGACACACATTACCAAATTATAGGTGTTATAGCAGCCAGTATCAACTCTATATATACATGATTATTCATGTTAATATTTATATTTCTAAAGGAGTTCATCATTGCATTTCTTTAAATTCACTTTAAAATATATTAATTTGCCAGAGTCAAACATTTTTTAAACTAATCCTATCAACAAAAGTCTGGATTTGAAACAGACATTAATATTACCATATCATGACTGACATGGGGACCAATGTAGCATGCTGCCATGAGCTGATAATATTAGATGAAACAAAACATGAAATTCTTATGTCATATATATAATAGCAGACTTCAAAAACTTGTGTAAAAAAAAGTGTAGGGCATACTAAGTACTGTAAACACATTAATTATTTGCTAATAACTTGATGAAAATGACACTTTGTTTGTCAGCTTGTCTTTCAAATCAGTTAAGTAAAGATGATAGATCTTGTGGTTTTGCTGGAAAATCGATGAATTTAAAAACTCAGTGAATATAATCAAATATCAAATTAGAAAAAATAGCTCAAGATAAAGTTAATGGGTTTTCAGTTAACCTAAATATAATTGAAAAACTAAAATAATATACTGTTAATATAACAGTAATGTTGGCAATTTTCATTTCAATTTATCACAATTTCAGCTACCGAAAATTTGTATTTTGCTAAATAAAAACAGTTTTGGGAATGTTATCTATATGCATACCCCTCAAAAAATAGTATGAAACACCATTCATTGAAAATTAACTGCCCCAGAAAAAAAAATGTTAGATTCTTTAAAATTCCATATTTCAGCATGCTTTTACCCTGAATTTAGAAAAACCAAAACTGAAAAAAAACATTCATTTAATTTTTCGCATTCTATTACGTTTGAGTGGAATAAAAAACATTGGTAGAAAAATAAAAACACCAAATACGGCTTGACCGATGAGAAATGCAAGCAGTCGATCGTATCCCCAAGACGGCGGTGTTTGTTTCATGTTGTGTAAAAGAAGGAATCCTACCACCACTGCAATGGATGCATACATGTAGCCTGTGAGTGCCTGCAAAATAAATAATAAATTGTTAAAATTAAGGTAATTGACAGCATTTTTTAAAGTTTTGAATAAATTAAAATAAAAATCAATAATTAGCACAAACACTTAAATAATCAATAACTTGCAGAAATAGTCAATAATATGCATGTTCAATGAGTCAAATAAAATGTCACTAATTAGTGTGAATTGTCACTAATTTGCATAAATATTCAATAATTTGCATAAATAGTGAATAATTAGCATACACAAGCTAAGCAGAGACAATGCTTAGTGCTCATTGTTTAAGTTCTTAAATTTCACTGAAGAATACAAAAAGTAATCAAATTAATCATAACCAGTAAGTTATTGATCAAATTGCAAAATCTGGTACTAAGATTCAATCAAATACATCTGTGTATGGATACAATGCACTTGTGTATTTTTTAACGTGGCAGTATCAGTCCATCATCTCTTAGCACATATAAGCTTTAATCAATCAATCAATTACTGTCATCGCCAAATGTTGTTTCAGATATCAACATAGCTGCATTGCTGGCTAAGTTTCCCAACTTGTTAGCTATAGGCATCACAAGATAGATACGAAATAATTTTGATAAAACCAAGCTCAACAGGAGTTCTAATATTGTTCAAATATCAAATAAAGATGAAATTCCCTAAAAATGTTATTTCATCTTATTGTATAAAGTGTCTTATCCCAAGAATTTTAAGAAAGATGTAACCGAATAGAGCACTCTCATAAAAATACTTTGATTTAACCAGTTATGCTCTTGAGACATACATAGCAAACCAGTCAGCAATTTAGCTAGCAATATTACAGCGACTTAGTTAGCAATAGCAGAAACGACTGTGAAAGAGATAGGCACATTTCTGTTTTACCTGTTTAATCATTGTCCATTTTCTACTTTTGTTTATCGGTACATCAGTTGGGAACGTTACTACAGCATAGTACAGCGGAGGAATAACAACAACTCCCATTATTAGCAAAGTATAGAAAACATCACACCAGAAAAAATCTATTAGTTTGTACTTCTTGCCAGCACGCCACTCTGCTAAGGATCCTGGAAAATCAATAAAAGTGAGTGTAATGAAATGCTGGGGGTAAGGTGGTGTGATAATTAGAAACATTATTTGCTGCAGCATCAATAGTGTTCATCAGCAACTACATCATCAACAGAAAGGGTTGATTTTATAACCAGACATTAATAAGCCAGGTTGCAACAACAAAAAACAAAGAAGCAATTTTCGTAAAAAAATTACCGGTATGACGAATAGTTTGGTAGTTTGAAAATCCTTGAAAACTACAGTTTATAGATAAGGACCAAGTCAGAGAACAAAGAGACCATGTGATTTTATGATTCATTTGTTGCATTTAGAATGTTGTAGTTCGGTTTTACCAAACTGTATGGTACCCACTGATGGTATTCAATATTGTTGTGTAACAAAGCAGTTATTATTATTATTATTGTTATTGTTATTGTTATTGTTATTATAATTATTATTATTGTATTTGTTTGTTGTCCCCCAGAGTAATATCTTTCAAAGTGTGTACAGATATCTAGATGTTATTTTATTCAACTTTATCGCGTGTGCATGTATGAATCAAAGAAAGCTTAGAAAGAACTCCTGTGTGCTGAAGGTATTGGAGGCATGGAGTACAAATAAGGATACTGTATTTACTTGTGTCATTAAAATTTGTGGTGGGTGGTACTTCAAGTTATCTGTGGAGCACATATAAGATGGTTAATTTATGCAAATTAGGTAATTAGTAAGCACAAAATTGAACCTATATACCAAGTTTCATTGAATCTGATTGGCTAATTAATATGCAAATATTCATGGATATCAACCATGTTTCATAAAAATTTGTTGAATGGTACTTGAGAACTTGGAAACAAGGGAAAATACTTAAAATTGGCTACTTAATATGCTGATTAGGTGATTAATATGCAAAGATTCCAACTAAACACTAATCAGGTCTGTGCATTATCCCAGAGCATCTATATACAATGTTTCACTGAAATCAGTTTTATGGTACATGAGAAAAAAGTTAAAAGGCTTAAAATTGGCCAATTAATATGCAAATTAGGTAATTACTATTTACAGGATTTCAACCAAACGCTCATTAGGTCTGTGCTTTATCCTAGAGTATCTGTGTACTGTATCAAGTTTCATTGAAATTGATAATTGGTTCTCAAGATATCACACACAGACAGATACACAGACTCATTAACTGCAAAGACTCCCAAAGTCTTTTTCGAATTTTAGAACAATTTTGTCAACTTTTAATGGTTTTATTTATTTCCCAAAAAAACTCTCAGAACACATATGTAAAAAGTGATTATTACCTTTACTGGGGGAGGGAGAAAAAATAACCCGTTCAAAAAAATGGTCCATCCCTTTACACATGAGTTGTTTGATCTGCAATGCTAATGTTGGAATATAAGCACAATTTCCACAATTCAGTGACAAAAAAAAATCTGCAGATCAAGTTGCCATATCCTCAGTAAAATAAAATTAGAAGCTATACAAATTTCAAACCTGATATGCACGATTTAAACGATTTTTGTTTATCTGATAGTTTTATCTTAAGTGAGGCCAACACACTATCCGGTACAAGGTATGAAAGCTGATATAATTTAGTTGATGACAAGTGATTTTTTCATCAATTATATAAGGTCAAATTTAATGTATTTTGTTTTTTTAACACATCTCAATCATTATCAATATACTTTGGCATATTATAAAATTTCCAGTTTCAATAAAAAATTTGACATTATTAATATAGCATATTTTTTCCCACTTTATAAAATATTAATTAAGTCGTTGGAAATTCATATTTTATTTCACTAAGCTGATCAAAATTATTGGTATATTAAGTTGGCTATAAACACTGATTACCGGTAATAGCAAAATCGTTATAATTTGTTATTTGTATCATTAATAAAAAATATCTGCAGCTGACTGTATTTATGATTGTCAAATTTAGACAATCTCTACTATCTCAAACTTTTCAGATATCATGTTAAAAAAATCAAAACGTTTTTGCAGAACAATGTAAAGAAGTCAACAGGAAATGAATGTACAATGTCCAATTCATTGTCCTAATATAAAATCTAAAGTTCAACAAAAAAGAACAGATTACTAGTAGTTTAAAGGTTTCATTAATAAATTAACACTTACTGTAGTTATTTTGTTAACTGAACCCTCAATGGTGCATTATTTTGCATAATGATTTTTCTCTCTGTTATAAACAGTATTTTTATCATTTTGCCAAATTAGTGTTGCTATGACAACAATCACTTTCCATAAATGTTCGAGTACTGCCCATAATATAATCGCTGTACATTTTTAAACTAGAATTAATTAAAACCAAAAAAAGTTAAGGGATGGACCATTTTAAACCCGTGGCAGGGGGAGGGAAATAGAGCAAGTGTGATTTATCAGTTCTAGCAGCAGTTTTCTTCAATTTTAAAATTCAATTGCTGATTCATACATTTTCTCTTTAGTCATTTTGAAAAGCGTCCAAAGCCTCAAATCGCACCACATAATTTAAAATGGTCCATCCCTTAGTTATCAACTTGCCTGCATAGAGGAATCTGTCATACCCAAGTGTCAAGATAGTAAACATACAAGTGTATGCCATGGTCCAGACAGCGTGCGCTGTCGCTTCTTTGCCGTTATGAATTAATTTCCAAACCACAACAAACCCCAACACTCCTTGCAAGACGTTCGTACAGGCAAATAAACACGGCCAGATCGGATTAAGGCTGCGATCTAGAAAAAACATCGTCTCCCATCCTGGGTATCCCCATAGTAGATATACACCAGACGGACCAAAGATAAGGCTCAGATACAAAACGCAATACACGAAGTATTTATTGATGAACACAGAAGTTTCCCTCTTTAACGACTCGGCGGCGCATGAGGCGAAACATGCGCCCATCGCAAAGGACCAGAATACATCAACTTGGATCATCGCGAGAACGCGTAATTCGCAGGCCAGTAGCTTAACTTAACTACAAAGTGTATGCCACACCGTGTATTGACGATGATGCCAACCACCAGTACCACGTACACACGCACGCCGACTGAACAATCGGAAATGCTGAACTAAATATGCGGACGTTTTCCACTTTTCTAAACCTCGAAAACTACCCACCCTTTGTCTCAAAACACTTTCTGCGGTGGCACTCACGTCGGCAGCAACTGTCGTGGCCTCTTTTTATCTCAAACTGCATAAGTCGGCTTACCGCTTACGAGTATACAACCCCCCTGGAACGATGCTCACCCTTGACCCTGAACCCGGAAGTAGACAAAGCAGCGTGGGAGAGCGAAAATGGCGGCGTCTGTGAGTATATTTGAAATTACATGCTACGGTTCCAGTTTGATTTCATTGTACTGTGAATATTGTGCCATGATGGATCGTATGATGACTACTTTTGTTTATTCTATGTAGGATTTTAAAATTAAAATAGCCCAAGCTTGTCAAGCAGGAGAAGAATTTCAAAAAATATATTACGATTCTTTGGATAAAAGAAGAAATGTGAGTTTGTAAATTTTATTATTGTTATCACGAGTCAGCTCTGAACGTTCGACTTCGAGTTCACAGGTAACAAAAGACTGACGATCGCGCCCGGGTCATTCCAGTTCCCCCCCCCCCCCCACGGACGGTTTAAATCCGAGGGGATGGTTTAATTCCGAGAGGTGTCATATTTTTGATATATTAAATTTTTTTACATACACATCTGTATACGTCAAATCAGTAAAGTGTCCAGGGGGTGTGTGAGTTAACAAAAATCCAACACCTGAATCGTGGATTTGAATCCATAGGGTGTCATAACCTTAATATCCATCCGTAGGGGGGGTGTCGAAAAATACTGGAATGATCCCCCTCATCCCATCGTTATAATTTTCAAAATCACCATACCGACAATACCTTCAGCATAATCAAATTTGTATCTGATAATAAATTGAGCTCCGTTATGCTTGATTGCTAGCTAACTAGATAATTTGGATGATTTTTGTGTGGCTGACACATTGAAATATATATTCTTATCGTTTGAGAGGATTTTTTTTTTATCAAGTAAGAAATTGCTGGGAGAAAACAAATATATTTAAAGTACCACAGTCGTCAGGCGTTCAAATTAAGTAAACAAAATAATTTACATTACGGCTATAAAATAATCGAACATAAGTTTTATTACTTGCGGTAGCCCATTAATTTACATCACTGTAAACAGATAATGCTGTTTACAATGTACAACACATTAGAGATACTGTACTACATATATTCTTGCTATCAAAAAGAGATATAATGTAAATAACACTGACTTGCATAAAACATGAAATGCACATTGCAACACCTTGTTTCTTTTTGCTCATTGGCTGACTTCTCTGACAAGCCAACTTTGGAACTGGCCAACTACATTTATATTCTACAGTGGGCATTTTAAAATAAACGTCCTGTTCAGCCATTTCAATCAGCGATTTTTAGTTATTCACAGGTAGTAAACAAGGCGACAAATATGGAATAAACAACAATCATATACCAAAACACTTACAGCAAGCATTTTAAAATAAATGCCCAGTTTTCATTTTCAATCATTGCAAACTCGCAAACACCAGTTCAGAGCTGATTGCGAACTCGTAAATACCAGTTCAGAGCTGATTGCAAACTTACAAACGCCAGTTCAGAGCTGATTGCAAACTCGCAAACACCAGTTCAGAGCTGATTGTAAACTTGCAAACGCCAGTTCAGAGCTGATTGCAAACTCGCAAACGCCAGTTCAGAGCTGATTGTAAACTTGCAAACGCCAGTTCAGAGCTGATTGTAAACTTGCAAACCACAGTTCAGAGCTGATTGTAAACTTGCAAACGCCAGTTCAGAGCTGATTGTAAACTTGTGAACGCCAGTTCAGAGCTGATTGCAAACTTGTAAACACCAGTTCAGAGCTGATTGCAAACTTGAAAACGCCAGTTCAGAGCCGATTGCAAACTTGCAAACGCCAGGTAAGAGTTGAATGCAAACTTGCAAACGCCAGTTCATAGCTGATTGTAAACTTGCAAACGCCAGTTCAGAGCTGATTGCAAACTAGCAAACTGCCAGTTCAAAGCTGATTGCAAACTTGCAAACGCCAGTTCAGAGCTGATTGTAAACTTGCAAACGCCAGTTTAGAGCTGATTGCAAACTCGCAAACGCCAGTTTCAGAGCTGATTGCAAACTTGCAAACACCAGTTCAGAGCTGATTGCAAACTCGCAAACGCATGTTCGGAGCTGATTGCAAACTTGCAAATGCCAGTTCAAAGCTGATTGCAAACTTGCAAACACCAGTTCAGAGCTGATTGCAAACTTGCAAACACCAGTTCAGAGCTGATTGTAAACTTGCAAACGCCAGTTCAGAGCTGATTGTAAACTCGCAATCACCCGTTCAGAGCTGATTGCAAACTCGCAATCACCCATTCAGAGCTGATTGCAAACTCGCAATCACCAGTTCAGAGCTGATTGCAAACTCGCAATCACCCGTTCAGAGCTGATTGCAAACTCGCAATCACCCGTTCAGAGCTGATTGCAAACTTGCAAATGCTCGTTCAGAGCTGATTGCAAACTCGCAAACCGCCAGTTCAGAGCTGATTGTAAACTTTCAAACGCCAGTTCAGAGCTGATTGTAAACTTGCAAACGCCAGTTCACAGCTGATTGCAAACTCACAAACACCAGTTCAGAGCTGATTGCAAACTTGCAAACGCCAGTTCAGAGCTGATTGCAAACTCGCAAACACCAGTTCAGAGCTCATTGCAAACTCGCAAACACCAGTTCATAGCTGATTGCAAACTCGCAAACGCCAGTTCATAGCTGATTGCAAACTCGCAAACGCCAGTTCAGAGCTGATTGCAAACTCGCAAACCGCCAGTTCACAGCTGCATGGAAACTCACAATTGCCAGTTCAGAACTGCCTGTGAACTCAAAATCACCAACATGCTCTCCCTGCAAACTGGCAGCTTTACTTGCATGTACAGGATATGTCCATATTTTATATCACTCTTCACAGACCTGTACACAGAGCTATAAATATTAATGATCAAAGGGATTGGAGGGGTGTACTAGTGATAGAAAATGTAACTATTTTAATGAAGTGTTGGGCATAAAATAATTTTAATTACAACAGGAATAGGCTGTGGTGAGTGCAGTGGAGTTGCTGGGATGCATGGATGATATACCATGTCTGATACTAATAACAGTTTATGACTTCACAGAAATTATCAAAATTATATTCTGCCGATGCGTCTCTTGTTTGGAATGGAAATGCTTGCAGCGGTTCTCAACAGATCACAAAGTTTTACGAACAACTACCAACGAGTGATTTTAGAGTTGATACATTGGACTGTCAGCCAATTGCTGGTAAGGGTACAGGAATTACAACCAAAATAATTACTTGAGACTTTGTAAAATGAGTGATTAGTATTTAGTATAACTGCTGGTTTCAGCTTGGTAAGCCATTGCCAACAAAGTAAGATGCACTCTTTAGTGATATGATTTGGTTTTCAAGTAAGAGAAAATATTGTGATATATGTGGTCCTAACAAAGCTGAAATGAATCACTATTTATTTGAATCAACCAAAAATGATTCTATTAATTTTGCCGAAAGGTAAAAAATGACTTTGATTTGTATTCTACCGTATTAATTCTCATTTTTTTTATTCACGTACAATGCGTGTATCAAGGATTTTTTTAAACAAGGGAACAGTGGCGCAGCACCCTCATGCCATGGCCATGCACCCCCTTACCCTGGAAAGCAGATCCTCTGGCAACCATAAAATTCTGATTAACCAGAGATCACATGTGGCCACAGTCTTCAACTGTGACCTGTCTGATAGTAATTTTGGCCCTAAGCCCTAACTTAGAATGATAAAAAAATCCACACTCTGGTAGGGAAATCCCTATCTCCCCCACTTAGTGGCGCTGCTGAATTGCAGTGCTCTCTTTTGCAGTTTTGTTCTCTCGAGAAACCCATGCATAGCATTTTTTATGTAGGAAAAACAGGGATCAACCTATTTCTTTTGGGTAAAATCATGGTTACAGTCTCACTCACATCGGAAGTCACATGGGCTCAAACAAGTATAAAAAGCTAAAGAAACAGAAAATACTAAATTTATGTCTATTTTTCATCACAAAAATATTGATAAATTAGCTGCAATTGCTATAGATCAACATTTGCGTGAATTATTTCAATGGAAGTATCAATCATACGTGAATCGAATGCGAATCAAGTGCTAATCGTGTGTGGATCAAACGAGAATCTTCACACTCGTAAAAAATCTAATTGTTCCATAAATATAACCTAAAAGTGAGCCCTCACACAATGATTGTGGAATTGAGATTTCAAAGTGAGCCCTCATGCACTATTTCAGAAAATGATTTTGTTTTGTTAACCAGGTGCATTTATCAGAAATTGTTGATTGGGACGGGATGGAGTATTGATGCGCAATATTATTTGTACAAATGAAAATGGTTGTATCTTTATCACCAGATATCTTCATGTGGTTCATCTTTCTGTTTTTTTGCAGAGGAAGCGACAAATGGAGTGACATCTGTGTTGGTAACCGTTTCTGGCACGGTCAAATTTGAAGGGAATCGGATGCAGGGATTCAATCAGACTTTTGTACTCGCTCAAACGGGAGACGTCTGGAAAGTCGCCAGTGACTCTTTCAGATTTCATGAATGAAGCGATTGACAAAAAAGTTTTATTTTGTTTCATCAAGATAGGAGTAAGCTATCATCCATATTTATTTCCGATTGGAACAAGTACAAGATAATCACAGCTGTTTTTCTGCTGTATGACATTGTAATACATACTGGTATAGCGTTTAGTTTGATGCAGCAACACGAAGCATTGTTGCATGATGTGATTAAATGCTTACAAAAGTGAAAAAGTAAACATTGATAAAAAGGTGATATATTTCGGTTTTTTAATAAAAATACAAGTCATTGAAAATGACACAGTCCCCGTTAAGTTCTCTTTGTGCTCGTCATATTAAAGCGGAGGGGTTGTCGCGAGCATGTCCTTGAAACTTGAGTTCCAAGTGGCGTATACAACAGATTGTTTATTTATATCAAAACATGTGTTTCGTGTCGTAGTAATATGGCCAAATAAA